TGATTCAAGTGAAGTAATGTTGTTAAATATGATTAAAATAAACTGTTTTGTTTAACCAGTGCCACTTATTTCTGCTTTGATTGTCTGGAATCTATTTTTCTTGTATCGTGGTAGTTACAGGTGCTTGACCGTGGAAAGTGATCTTGAATGTGAACGTGATCGAGCTGCAATAAACAAAAAAAACTTCGAAGATGTCCAGACCGGCTTACAAGAGTTGGGTCGAGTTAACCAGAATTTACAGGTATGCTAATTTATGTTTGTTTTTCCCGCACTCATTTCGATTTGGATGTTTTTTTTTTCCTCGCTGTTATCTTTACACCGTCAGCTGAGACTGCTTCGGTTCCAATCTCTTCCCATTGCCTTTTAGGTATGCAAACCGATTCTTCCATTTTGTTGCTAACTTCTCGGTGTTTCTTCAATAAAATTTGAGTAATCAGCCCAGGGTTTGCTGTTTCTGTCTTTTGCTCCTCATTATTATAATATGGTTAGTGCGGCCGTTCCTTCCATTATGCATTTATTCCAGTAACGTCCTTCATGCCAGGCTAAGAAGTGCGGTGTCGCAGTTGATTATGCTACGACGGATTATTATTATTATTTTTTTTTTTTTTTTTGCAATAATTTGACGTTATTAGTAGCGGCATATGCTTGAGAGGCACATATCGGCTTTAAAGACTAACATCCATGGTTCCGGCGCTTTTTCTGTATCGTTTCATGCAAAATTCTCAATTTTTCAGATGGACTACGCGAGACAGATGTCACGTAAATGGTTGGATGATTCGGAGGTGACAAACTGCCACGCTTGTAACAAGCAGTTTACACTGACAGTTCGAAAGCATCATTGTCGGCAGTGCGGGCAGATCTTTTGCGCCACATGTTCATCATTCACTGCACAGGTTGCTTCATCCAAGAGTCCAGTTCGTGTATGCAGTGCCTGTAATGAAGAAATTATGCATCGGTAATGCTTATTTTCCTCTTCCGTTGAATGCATTGGAAAAGTAATTTTTTTAGAGGGCATTTTCAGAGCTGCGCACTACTCCTCTATCATATTTTCTAGATTGCCTGATAAGAAAAGCCAGGAAGAAGCGCGCCTCTAGAGCATTTTATATGTTCTGTTCGGTGAATCGCCTAATGTGACAAGTGTGCTGGGGCTATGCCGTTAGTGAAATTTACTTTGTCCACAGATGTTTGGCCACTTTTTTGATTTCTGGATTTCCTCTGCGTTGCATCCCAAAAGGCATGGAAGGGGTGAATTTTTTCGTGAAATCCGTTTACATTCTAAATATTTCCCCCACGTCAAATTTCGAATCAATTATGTCGAAACGTCGAGTGCTGTTCTTTTGTTTCCGTTGTATTTATTGCGATTCTTCAATTCCTGGCGAGCAAATGTTGATACTCGTCTTTTTAAATATTGCAGTCTGTGATACTTAAAAATGTTGCATTACTTAATCTTTGTTTCGTACTCGAATTTATACGACTTTTGGTTGCGGTTGCATTACTTCAAATGCTTGAACTGTAAATTGTATATAGCGTGCCGTGTATTTAGCATCTATAAAAGAAATTATCGGTTTTAAATGACGGAAAGGATTTTAGCACCCTGCCTTTTCCAGACCTGTAAGTGAAGTAACGTCCTGGTTCCGAATAAACTTTCCTGGCAACCTCCATGACTGGTAATTTTGAGAATTCCTGCTGTTGTACTTGTACTAGAGTTATTTGCGTGTACCATACTTAAAAGTGCTTTCTGTCCTCTTT